AATGCATTTGCAATTTTGATAAATGCTGCCAATTTGCCCTCCACAGGGGTCGCACCAATTTACTTTCCCTTCAGTTATATATAAAGTGCCTGTTTCCCCACAGGGGCTCTAACGAGTGAGTGTGTTATCAAACCTTTGGATTTTTGCCACTCTAATGGGTAAAAAATAATAATTTTAATTTGTTTCTCTTATGAACTACTTTTAGCATCTTTTCAGATATTTAAAATCCATTTGCATTTCTTTTTCCGTAAACTCCTGCCTGTTCATATCTCCTGTCTGTTTTCCTACTGGGATTTTTAAAATTGATTTCTAGGGACTCTTTATATATTAAGGAAATTAGTCCTTTGACTATATTGTGAGTTGAAAATATTCTTGCCCAAGTTTTCATTTGTCTCTTGACTTTACTCATGCTGTTTTAGGCCCCTGCAAAAGGTGTTTTTCATTTTAATTTATGGTCAAACTTTTAAGTCTTTCTTCTAAGACTTTGCGGCATAAAAATGCCTTTCCCATTCCAAAGTTATAAAGTTTAGCTTATAAAGGCTTTATTTCTGGTGTCTTTATAGTTTCCTTGAGTACATATAAATCTTTTAGTTATTTNTTCTTCTAAGACTTTGAGGCATAAAAATGCCTTTCCCATTCCAAAGTTATAAAGTTTAGCTTATAAAGGCTTTATTTCTGGTGTCTTTATAGTTTCCTTGAGTACAAATAAATCTTTTAGTTATTTAAAGTTTATTCTTTGATAGGGAAGGAGCTGTGGCTCCAACATCATTTCTCCTGAGATCCCCTCCCTCCTCCTTGGAACAAACCACCATTGGTTTCTATGACTCCATGCTCTCCTACTTCTCTGGAAACTGCTTCTCAGCCTATTTCACAGTCTTCTCTTCCTCCTCTACTTTGATTTTAAATGTTAGAGCTCAAAATTTAAGAGTCATTGGTCCTCTGCTCTTCTCACTCTCCTCTCTCTCTGTAAGTTTCATCCTGTTGAGGTTTTAATACTTCCAAGTTCACTTCCTGCAAGAGCTCCAGACCCTGACAACTATCTTACCCATTTGGACAAGCATCTCATATATAAGATGTTCAAGTTTGACCTCATCAAACCTGCACTTCCCCAGGCTGCCCCCAACTCAGAAAATAGTACCACCTGCTGGAAAATGAGGTCATGCTAGAAGCCAGGGAGTCACCTCTTCTCCACTTCTCTGTCCCTCTACATCCATCATCATCAAGACCTATCAACTCTATTTCCAAAATATATCTCAGATCCGTCCACTTCTTTCCATCTCCTCTACCACAATCTAGGACTCATCAACCTTTCTCTTGGTCTATTTACACACCCTCCTGTGTGGCCTCCCTGTATCCACCCTTGCCACTGAGAGCTTTTAAAACGGCAAATTTGATCATGTCATTCAATATCAATTTCTCTCTTTTCTCTTTCTCACTAACAAAGCCCAGTGACTTGCTTTGACTAACTGAATGTGTTAGAAACAGTCATGTTCCAGTTCTCTCCTCGCCCCCCACCCAACACACACACACACACACACACACACACACACACACACACACACACACACAGAGCTTTTTCAATAACTCTTAGGACAAAGTCAGAAACCCCTAGCAGAAGTAGTATGCAGAGCCCTGAGGGTAGAAACTCTACCCACAGCCAGGAAGGGTGTACTAAGGAGGTGACATTTGCATGTCCCTGAAAGAACAAATAGGCATGTGTTGAGTGAAAAAGGCTAGGGGATGTCTATCAGAGGAAAGAGTGCACACAAAGGCTCAGAGTTGTAAATGAGCGCAAGAGGTGACCAGAAATTTGTCTCGTGCAACCAAAGTATTATTTGTGGTAACAAAAACAATAGAAATAATAAAGTGCAGCCTAGGAAATATAGTCAATAATATCGTAACAACTATGTATGGTGCCAGGCAGGTAATGGAAATATCAGTATTTTCTTCACAATATACTTTGTGAAGTGTAGGACTGTCTAACCACTAGGCTGTATACGTGACACTACTACACAATAAAATGAATGTAAACTGTAATTGAAAAACTTTTTAAATGAAAAAAATAATAAAATCACATCCTCAAATTAAAAAAAACAAACATAGCAAATCAAGTTACAAAAAAAAAAAAAAATCAACAGAAGTAAGTCATCACTAGTTTTACGGAACACAGGGACTTCACACTATCGTAGGTTAGACGTAGAGCCCCCCGTAGAGCCTGAGATAGGAATCTCCGTGACAGCGACCTATTGGGAGGTGACTGAGGAGAAGGGGGGAAGGTCAGCAGCACGGGGCAGGGGAAGGAGCTGAGCGGGACGTGGTCCCAGCTGGGGTCAGCTGGAGTTCCATGGGGAGTCACAGAGTTGGTCTCCCCTTGAGACAAGGGGCCAGGCTTTCTAGACCATCCCCCACAGTCCCTCCTGGTTCATAGTTCCCACTTGGCAGAGGCCAGTTCCCCAGAGAAGGGGCAGCTGTGCACAGTTGCCCTGGCCTGGTGCAGGAAAACTGGGGAGGCACAACAGAAGCCACAGCACGCACCTCACGCGCCTCTCCGGACACCCTCGGGCCGGGTGTCACTCCTCCTATTGGACAGGAACCTGGAGGAACTTACATAAGGGCTCCTGGCTGGGATGTGGAAGAGCTGGGATTTGAAAGCAGATCTGCTGAGATCCCAGTCCAGTTCCTTTCTTTATATTCATCCCAAGGAGAGGGAGACTCTTCCCAGATCACATAACCAGGAAAGATGAGCCCTTGTAGCTCCTGGGCCGGGTCTGCTCCCAGCAGGGGAAGAGTTGATCTGATGGGCCAGAAGATGCTGATGGGCCAGAAACATGCCTGAGAACAGCATTGGTCTCAGACCACCCAGGCAAGTCTAGTACAAAAGAAATGCAATGTCCAGGGAGGGGGGAAAACACGATAATATGTGAAAGCTAAGGCAGCTATGCAGGAATTTTGTGGAGACTTGCAAAAAAACAAATGGGACATGAATTTGCAAAAGAACCTTCGAGCCCAAAAGATCTGGTTTGAAAGTTTTTAAAGGGACATAGTTGGCTGATATATATCCCGTTGGAACCTCTGTCTCAGCTGCAGTTTCTAAATGAAGAAGATGAGGTTTCTGGAAGAGCAGGTTTTCAACATGATGAAAATGGATGTTCTGGAAGCAAACATCTCCCAGAAATGGCTTCCAGCTTATGTCCAGAGCTTTGCACATAATAGGTGCCCAATAAACATTTGCTGAATGGGTAAACATTGTATTTAACTGTATTTACAAACGGCGTTTTATGCCATTTAGAGTATTTATCCTCTGAATCCTCTATCGGCTTCAAGACCTTCATTTTGCCCACATGTTTATGTCAACCCTTCAATAATTGGGGGCCATACATTTCCTGCAGTTGATGAGGCAACACACCACGATAGGGTGTTTGTGTGCAAATGTTGTGTGTGAGTTCAAGCAAGCACTCCAGGGAAAAGACTGGAAGGAAACATACAGAATTTATGCCATTAAGAACTAGAGGCCAGTGGAGCCCAAACAAACCACTGGGAAGTGTAGTTCCCAGAAGAATCTGTTTTTCTTCAGCAAAATCAGCACGAACAACATGCCACGTGTTTCCCGTATGTGCTAGTTGGTTAAAAGACCACAATACTTTGCACGCCTCCCATTAACAGGTGGAGTCTATTTGCCCATTCCTTGAATCTAGACTGGCCCTATGACTTGCATTGACCAACAGAATGCACTGGAAGTAGTTGAGTGCCCGTTCTACACCTAGACCTCAAGGGATCTTGCAGCTTCTGCTCTTGCTGCTCTGAGAACCCTTCTCCTACTGTGTGAAAAACCTCAGGCTAGCCTGCCAGAGGATAAGAAATCACCTGGAGTAGAAGTGAGTCCCCCATACTAATCAGCTTACAGCTGACCTGGAAGCTTCCTATTGTCACTTAAATGATCCTAGCCACAACAAGAACAGCCACCTGACTGAACCCAACCAAACTGCCAACCCATGGAATTATGAAGTAGGTAAATATTTATTGTTTTAAGAAACTAGGTTTTGGGGTGCCTGTTATGCAGCAAAAGCTAACTGATACACTATAAGAAGTCTAGATTGTAATCACTAAACCTGTTCACATCAAAGTTGACTCATGCCACCAAGTGGACTTAGTCAATCTCAGGGTATCCTGGTGTCTCCTTTATAAAGTTCTAAGTTAGGAAGAGTCTCTGAGTGATGGCACAGGAGGCTTGGGGAGATCCTTGTGAGTCCAACCACCTCATTCCACTGTTAGAAAAACAAGTCAGAGAAGAGGAGCCACAGTCACTCATTACACAAATATTTCTTGAGTGCCTCCTATATGCCAGGCTTTGTGCTGCAATGGAGGACACACCATGAAAAAGAGAGACCAGATCCTGCTCCCATGGAGCTCACAGTCCAGGGTGGAAATCGGGCATTAACCAAGTCATTACACAAGTAAGCAGACCACCACAAACAGTGACAAATGTCATGAATTAAAAGGACATGGTAGCATAAGAGAGACTCACAGGGAGGGGACCAAATTTGGATTTCAGGGTCAACCAAGAACTTTCTGAAGAGTGACATTTAGGCTGAAACAAGTTGGTGGCAGCTTTTGAGGTGGGAGTGGAGCTCTCCACATACACACCAAGGTAATGTGTGCAGCTCTGAGTCCAGCTGTGCAGGTTCAGATCCCAGCTGTACTGCTCCCTGGATGAATCAATCAACATCCTCAAGCCTCAGTTGCCTGATCTTTAAAATGGGGTTAATAATAATGTCTACTACTCCTCAAGACTGTTGGAAGATTAGCCTGTGGTGAGGACCCTCCCTGGCATTAGAGAATATAATGAGGATGCTCCCAGATGGAAAAACAACAACTTAATTTTCAGAGATGAGGCTCTCTGGAAAATCGGATTCCAGCTGACATCTGGGACTCCCAGGTGGCTGGGCCCCAGTCAGCCCAAGGTTAGACACCCCCCAACTCAGAAAGGACGGGGCACCTACCTGGCTGGTTGATAGAAGCTCTGGGTTTCCGTCACTCATCCCCACGTAGGCACTGTCACCATCAAACTGGAACAGAGAAAGAGAGAAGCATCTGAATAAAGTGTTCTCGAGAAGCCCCAGGAGGAGAATCCAGAGGAGGTCAGGGGACTGAATGTGCCGAGGGGAAAAGAGAAGCAGACGGAGCCCAGGACGCCAAGCTCCCATTCCTGCAGGGCTCCTTCCAGGGTGAAGGAGCAGCCCCGGCTCCCTGAGGATTAGCATCATCTATCACATTTAAGATAAAGTGAGGAAAATCCTTCTGCTCTCTATACCTCATCCACAGATGTGGCAGCCTGCCCTGTAAGATACTGAGCTCCCCAACCCTGGAAGTATGCAAATATCTCCCTTGGCCAAAATGACATTGTGCTATCAGCTAGAGTCGGAATTCCACGTGATGGAGGGAGACTGAGATCTCCAGAGCTCATGACAGCCTGCCCCAGATGTGCCCTTCAGGTCTTACCATCCTACATTGCTTTGCCCCCTCACATTTGCCCCTTAGGCCGCTGCTGGTCACAGGCAGTGAGGACTGTGGTAGAAACCATACACGGGAACTACAGTCCTGCGTCCTGAGGAGCTGCCAAGTCTGCATTCAGGAAGATTTCTGTGCAAGAGGGAGCGGGTGAAGTGGGAGAAGTGTGGGCTCTGGGGCCACTGGCTGCCCTTTGCCCTGAAATGTCACCTTGAGCTGGTGGTGCAACTTCTGACAAAAATGAGGACAATGACAGTCCCCTCTCTATGCGCTGTTTTGCTGACACAAGTAGAGCACTGGGCTCAATTCCAGGTAGTTCCCTTCCCTAAGACAGGTGACTTGGGTCACGTCCCCTAGAAGCAGAGCCTGAGTCAGGAATCCAAATGCATGTGGTGCTTAGTGCTCTTTAGGGATAACCTCACAGGGGAGGAGGCACGCAGGAGGGCAGTGCAAAGAGCCAAGCAAGGATGTGATCTCCGCTGGACACTTGTTGCAGCCTGACCCCATGGGGCACTCTGGGCATGAGCATCAACTGCACCATAGAGTTAGTCCCAGCATGAGGCAAGGGGCTGGCCTTTTGCAGCCCCACTGGCTGTGGGCTGCCCTTAGGAGAAGGGAGAGTCATAATCTCAGCAGGATGCTCCCCGTGAGACCAAGGACAGCTCTCCAGAGAACTGTGCCAGCTGTGAGCCATTTGCAGCCAGAGCTCACGACAGATGGGAGATGGCTGTGCTAGCTAGTAAAGGGATCCGGGTGGGGCACCAATGGCAGCTGGCCATTTTAATTGAAAATTTTATTTTTTTATTAGATGATATGTACATGGTTCAAAATTCCCGAAGTACAAAAAGTAACAGAGTGAAAAACCCCTTCCCACCCCACCTCCCAGCCATCCATCGCCTCTCTCCAGAGGTGATCACTGCGTCTGCCAGCTCGCTTTATATTTTTCCTGAGATGGTCTGCATGTGTACATTTTATAGTCATGTTCTTTCAAGTGACAGCATATTATACACACTGATTTGCACTTAATTTTTCTCCTAGAGACACATCTGGGAAAGTCTTTTACATCAGAACTGAATTCTGTCTTCCGGTGCCTAGTATTCCGCAGGGCAGACGTAACATATACATGGACCTAGTTGAGCACACGGCGATCGCGTCATTCCTAGTGGTTCGCTATCCCAGCATTGCTCCCATGAACAGTTCCCTACGTCCATCACTTCGCAGCAGTATAGTTTACTGTGGGATTAGTCTGTGTAATCGCTGGGTCCAGCTGTGTGTGCATTTGTAACTGATAGGCATCGTGAAGCAGCTCTCATGGAGGCTGTGAAAATCCACGCTCCCACCATCAGGCACAAGAAGTCAGCTCATCCAGCCGCTCTTCACTCAGGCTTTCCTCAGAGCCTGCTCGGATGCCAGCCTCCCACCTCTGTGGGCTCTGACAGCCCATCAGCGCCACCACCATCCCCAGGTCCCTTGTCGCCCTGCTCTTCCTTGTTCGTGGCTCCATCGCCCCTTTGACTTTCTAGCATCTATATTATTTACCAAGCTCGTTGCTTATAGTTGAATCCCCCCCCCCCA